TTTTTCAAGATAAATATTATAATCAACCACAAAAACACCTTGGTAGATTAAGTGGGTTAWACCTGATGGAATAAAGCGATTTTAGAACGTGCTTTAACTTGTCTAAAAGCGAGACGTTTTAACCTAGCGTTTTGAAACTATTGGACGATTAACTACGATTTGCCGCCCTAAAAATACGCTTATCTAACGGTGAAAAAACCTATTTCTAATCCTTATAAATGCGTTATTCTTACCTGCTGAAATGARTGAAAGAAAAGCGAAGGCAAAAACGAGTTCAGTATACATTTTGGCGTCTAAAATCTTTAGAAATTCACAAGAATCATTACAGTTTCTTCAGCAACGAATGCAGTGTTAACAATAATGAATGTTTGCTCAAAGCTCAAGTTTCATCTAGTCAGAAATTGACCAATCATTAAACGGTTACTAGTTGGACGCTTCTTTATGTACTTTGTAACACCATAAAGTGACGTTTAACAGAACCATGCCACTGATAAATCAGCCAATCAGGAAGGTGGTTTTATCTTGAAATGTCAGATTAAAGTTATTGAATCTAAGGTTTTCTAGGCAGGATGTTTTCGAATTGCAACTGTCACGACATCTTAATTAAAGATGCGATTCCGCGAAATTACGCGACTTCTCTCAACGATTTGTTTTACAGAGAGTAAGTAGACTTGACCCTCCAAAATCCGTATTGTTCAAGTCAAAACGGCTCAAGCTTACATTTATACCCTCCTAGTTTTCATTAATGGTTTTATTATTCGAATATTGAAATTTACTTATTTATTCAAAATAATAACCGTGAAAAAGTAAACTAACGTAACAAAATCGTACAAATTATTCTTGACTTTAAAAAGTTTTAACTTTTTTTCCCCTCCACTGTTAAGAGAGAAGAGGGGGGAAAGTAGAGGAGGAAATGAGGGGGGAGAGGGGGGGGGACGTTAAAACTGATTAAATCCAAAATCTAAGTACACAGGGCGAAAGAGTTACTACCTTTTAAGGGACAGCTAAGATTTTTTTACTTTATTTCACATTTTGACGATCTTATTGAGTTTTTCTTAAGTATCGCCATACATTTTCTTATGCCATGACACCACAGAAACTAAGGGCTACCTGTGCTAAGCTTGGAATGGGTATTATATTTATATGTCGTAGTACGGAAGAAATTATGCTTGAAAAAACGTGCAGATAAAGCGTAGGAAAATTTCATATCGTTGTGGCCTTTAGCTGATTACTTTGTTCGCCCATAATCCCGAGTAAGATGAAACAAGCTACTTTCATCAAACTTTTTTATGAAATAGCTTTATGCAAGAAATACGATTGAAAATGGCATGGTGTACGAGAAAACCGACATGCTATACCATAGAAAACTTCAGCGCATGTTGGAAAGAAAGAATAGAATGATGAATATACAAAGGCTTTACTGCGTTCTGATTGGCTGAATGTTTTATGTTATGGACCCTTCTCAAACCAGGTGATCTCAGGGAACGTGAGCAGAGCATTGTTGTAGTTGACCAGGCGGTCCTAAGTTTCAGTTGTTTATCGGTGAACAAGCAGCTATCATTTCACGATAATTTCATAAAACAATTGAAACCACTACGCACCATTTGAACCAGGTGTTCGTTACAGAATAGATAGAATACTTTTTTCGATAGACCGCCTGATCAGATTTCTTCCTGCGCGATGATTGGCTGGTTTTTGATGGGCTGTCAAAACGAGACCACCTGTATCGTGGATACGAGGCTAACATAGAAAATACAAATAAAAAGGAAAAAAAGAAAAGAAAAGAAAAAAGGAAAAAAACCCCGCAAATTCCATCGAGGAGAATTGTAATCCGGCTCTTTTCATATTATCATGTCAGCTTCGCATTCTAGGGTCCATTAGACACTGGATGGGAACATACATATCAGAGCGGATTATATTGTGATTGTAATTACAAGTATTGTTGCTGTAAATGCCAAGAATATAGTTTGCATCCAAATGTAGACCACGAGCAAACTTTTTACACTTGTGTCCTTGTACAGCATTAAGTKTAAGCTAAACGTTTCACCGGGTAACTCCATTGAAGTGGTGTTAAAAGTGCAAAATTTCCTAACAATTTTTACATCTCATTATTATTTAAGMCAATCAGCGTCTGACGTTTTCTAGAAAAGCAGGAGACCAAGTAGAGCGCATGTCACGATAACGATACCGCTGACTACAGGAAGAGCTCCAGTATTACAGATCCGTCCAGCACAACAGAAGACATTACAAGGTAAAGAGTAATCTTTGTTTATGCCTGCCCTGCARTCAGGCATAGATTTGTCGTAGCAGAGCTTGGCTGATGTGCACCCACGTGTAAAACGGGTGAGTTTTTTGCCCTCGTAGGTTGTGTCTACTGACTGATAGAAAAAACGATAAGAATACCCAGTTTTAGCTATTAGTATCAACTTTTCCATTTCATTTTGTATGGAGGTCGAACTTCCTTCTCGGGTCATGAGCTCTCATTCCCTCCCCAACGCCGGTTTTTTTATAGATCGATGAACCAGGTGCATTGGGGTCTAGCGTGGGTACAAGCAACGCCATCTGATAAGCATGATGCACAATGATGCGCACGCGGTCGTACCAAATCTATACCAGAATGCACCATTTTCGATCTCAGGAAAGACCAATTACAACACCAGGGGAATGCTGATCAACATGTTTGTACCCAAACTATACCAGAATGCACCATGCTCGATCTCAAGAAAGACCAATTACAACACCAGGGGAATGCTGATCAACGTGTTTGTACCCAAAATATACCAGAATGCACCATGCTTGCTCTCAGAAAAGGGACTTACGACACGAGCAGCATAATGAATAATTCATAAGTATACCCAAATTATCCCAATTGCAAGCATGATAGGAAGGCAGATCTAGATAGAGAAAGAACGATGCGATACTTACTGCTTTATAACAACGGTCYTCCCATGGCTTACATGTTTCAACGAATCTATTCTTCATGCACATAGACCAGGATTCAGTGCTACCACACACGTAACAGTCCAGGGATGATACTAGGAAGTGTCATAGATAGAGAAAAATATACGATGTTACCAAAACACAAGCAGCAACAAAACAACAAGAGCAGTGGTTGTGTTAATCTCGTTTGCCGCCGTTCTTAGTCGTATTCTTCCGTGGGGGAATATGGAAAGAGTCTTACAACGACCGCTGAAGAAGACTACAGGGCATGGTTGTACCAAGAGAGAATAGTGCTATCCGATAGATAAATCTTATCCAGTTGATAAATTTATTGGATAACAGCATCAATTTATCCATTGGATAAGGATTTATCCGTCGGATACGCTATCCACCCTTTGTACAACCGGGCCCAGTCGTATAACGGTATTGCAAAACAACATCCTACAAGAATAGAGACAATAAACCACCACTATCATCATCATAATCATAGTCGTATCATCTTCMATATAATAATGTGATTCAATGAATTTATTATTCCGTCTTATTCAATTTTTAGAAATAATCTTCGATTTCAAAAAAAAAAAAAAAAGTAAGAAATTTCGATTTCTAACGCCGTTCGAGGAGCATTTTAAGTTCTTGATTTAAAAAAAAAACATAAGTATCGGTCAAAATTCCCTTGAAATCAGAATCTTGAATTGGAGTATGGTTGTTACTCAAGTTCTTTATTGCTCAGTTAGTAAAACCCAATAAATATCAAAACTGAAACTATAAAGATCTACAGAGCCACAAACACATGAGTTTGCAAGCGGTCATAACACAAGAGTACTGCTTGAATGTCTGTTTTGTATTGTATTTACAAGCGTTATTTAGAGGCTGTAACTGAATAAGTCATGTGGTCTCTAAGGACTTCGTTCTGACATATCTTTTGAAGTAACTGGCAAAATCAACCACAATAGTTTTTTGGGGTTTTAATGGTATTGCTTGGTCGATTGAARCSAWTTYAGGAYGTGCTTAAACCCGYCTAAAAGCGAGGACTTMTGACATAACGCTTTGGAACTCATAGAAAACTTAATTACGATTTGCCGCCCAAAAACCACGCTTATTTGAGCAGAAAAAAACCATTTCTAACCAAGATAAAACACCAAAAATCGGCTAAATCCTACCTGCTGATATTAGTGAAAGARAAACGAAGGCAACCACGAGTTCTGCATGCATTTTTGTCGTCTAAAATCGTTAGAAATTTACAGGAATCATAACAGTTCCTTCAGCAACAGATTCAGGACCAACAATTAACATGTATGTTTGCTCATGGCTCAAGTTTCTTGTCAAGAATTGGCCAATCATAAAACAGCAACCATTTGGACGCTTCTTTTATGTAATTAGTAACAGCATACTGTGATGTTTAACAGAACCATGCCATAAAGAAATCAGCCAATCACTGAGAAGACGTTTTATCGCAAAATGTCAGATTATTGACTTGATGAAATTCTTATGAATGCAAAACCTTTTYGGAATGAAGTATCAAGTTTTTCTAAAACAGGATATTTTTGCATTCCAAATGTCACGATATATTTGGGATGGAAAAAAGATCTTGGCAGCGTCACAGTACCGTGGTCCACAGGGATCCCAAGCAGACAAAATGTAAAACAATTAAGAGCTCGGGTGGAGAGAATGGCAATGGTTTTTCCATGAAATGTAAATTTTATTTTCACACGTAAAATAAACTATTGTTTACAATGAGAGATCATTTATAGGAGGGATCAGAGATAAAAATCCGGAATCCAATACACATCTTGTTTTACCGTGGACGTAGTTTTTCCATTCCAGACCACGTGTCATTCTCTTGAGAATAAAAATTTTCGTACAACTGACACGTGGTCTGAAACGGTACGCYCAAGGTAAAGGGGTCTGCTATATTGAATTCAGAATTCCAGAGTAGAAGCTGTATACTTCAGTTGGACTTGAAGCCCACGATAGTAGAGGCTTGACTATTTTAAAATAGTACAGAAAAGTTCGTACGGCTGTAAAACAGCATGAAACGACACGGATGATACAACACCACGATGCGACATCCTTTGAACCAGTCACAAACTGGGCAATAAGAAGATGGTCATAA